CGTGCAATGACTGGAATAGCCAGGTAATCCATTTCGAAGATACACTGTGACCCGCCCATTGGCCATGCCTTGTTCAGCTACGTGTCATAGACGAAAGCTTTGGCGTCGAGCGAAAACCACGTCTTACCATCTTGCAGTTTAGGATGTCGGATGTTGAGAAGTCTGCAACCACGGCCACAACAAAAAACAACCGATTGAACCAACTCAACTCGCAACTTACGCAACAACCCTAATACGGCAGATTATTGCTTACATGTTGTGAAAATCCACTATGCTGTCGGCGAGATACTTCCCGTCCACTGTTGACAGTGCATCTTTGGCGGTGACCTGGCATTGCCGTGAGGGCCGAATAGCGTGAGAGTCCGGAAGTCACGACGAACAGCAGGATTCCGCAGCCTCTTGATCAAGTCGTCGGGTTGGTCGTCGACGGGCGATCCACCGACGCCGGTGTTCCACCCCGATGCCGATGACCTCGTCTCGCGTTTTATGGATCCCCTCTTCAACATGTCTTCGTCATGTGCCTTGCTGTCCGTAACCGGAGGGCGAGTTAGCATCCACGATAGTAGGCTAGATACGTGAGGACCTTGTGGCGGAGACCCGTCCACAGGCTCGCCTTTCACTCCCCTTGAACGACGACTCATAGTGCTGGACGAGAACGCTGGGACAGAGTGGTGATGGCCAGAATAGTGGACGTCAACAGTCTAGTAAGGCGTTAGCAGAAGCTTATTGTCTAGCTGATCGGTCCGTGAGACGGGCACTAATGTGCTCTGCGGCCTATAAGGTTGGATAGCAGGACGAGCGATGAACAACCGAACCGAATTCGGACTCTCATCGACATCACATGATGTTTCCACGTGTCAACTGCGTTGGAAAGCGCTCCAAAATGGAGGGTTCCGGATCCGACATTGATGTTGTTGTTTCGGGATTCCCAATGTACCAGACATATTTCGACGTTATTGATAGGCTTCAACACTTTTTCGCATACAAGTCAAAAGCGTACAACGAAAATCTCGTCACACCAGCCACAAATCCTAACCCTCCAATTACATCTATCCTACATGCCCAGCTGTCCCCTGTCGATTGCGTTTAGCGAGTACATGCAAACTTGTGTGGAAATCCATGTACGAGGGTTCTGACACTTTTTAGGGTGACTCCATAAACCATATAACATTACATTTGGAAGGCGTTGCAAGCACAATGTACGAACTACACAACTACAACCACAACCCGTGAAGCAGATTAGGCCCACCGCCACCCTAATAGCTGTTCTCGCTGACAAAGGAAACAAGGGGCGAGCTTGTGCACAGTAGGCCAGCAAGGTCGCCGCTAGAGCTGTCACTGCATAGGGAAATCCCGGGTCGCATAGTGACACGGCGCTGGTCTTTAAGGGGCGTGCGACGAAGCCGCTTGACCACTTCGTCGTTCTCCACCCCAACACGTTCAGGGACGTCGCGCGGACTTATGCCCATCTCCGCAGCAGTGCGAAAGTACGCCTGCGTAACTGCGCGCACCACGCGTCGGCGGCTTCTTGGGTCAGTCCCTTCGGGCATGGACTCCGGAGCGGTTGCCGCACCCGCAATCGATGCCGTGACGCCCGATGGCCGGCCAGTCATCAACAGGAGGTGCTCGTCACAAGCGGCGTAGTCCGTAGCGTGCATGAAGCCAGTCGCACCCTTTGAGAATCAGTCAATAACGACCTGCAGCTGGACCAATTGCTTGATGAGGGGCTCACGAGTGACGGCGGTAGGGGGATATTCCGTTAGGTGGAGGAGCGTGCGCCACGCCAGGGGCATAACGCCTGACCGGGCCCATGTGAGATGCACGGCCCAAGCTGGAGTTGCACGACAGGACCTACCAACCCAGACTAGCACGTTCTCATATGCCAGTATAGGCATTAACTCTTTGGCACGCCATTCGGCGTCCCCGGTCACAAAGCCTAGGTAGATGCAACGGAAGACTGTTTTGAACATTTCTACCACTCCGTTGAACCAAGGAAAGTTGACGGGGTTCACAACACCACCGAGGTGAACAATGATGGTGTTTGACAGCTCCTGCACACGAAACCCGAACATAACTGCCTCCTTACACGACTGGTCCAGTGTGCGATGCATCGACCCTGAAACGAGAACAAGCGCCCTCTTGTTGTGGGCCAGGCGGTCTCCATTGAAATTGTCAATATACTCGCTGAAGAACTGCGTCAAGGAAAGGGAACGGGGACTGTGAGTATTGGCGCCAGGACGGATGGGAATGCACTCAACCATAGGAGCATGAAGTCGGTTACACATACCTCGGCGGACAACTCCGCTTAGCGTAGCGGCGGTATTTCCGCGTACGTGAAGGACGGACACAATGGCCATCACAACTCCGACAAGCGTACGAAAAAGAGGCCCCGTACACAGGTTGTCCAAGCAATTGAACTTTGAGGTAAAGTGTCCATTACAATGGTTTCTCTTTGGCAGTTGTACAACAAGTCGAGTTAGGGTTTCCTCTTGAGAGTTGAAGTGATGTTGGGCAACGCCTGCGAGGCGTGCGGCTTGGAGCACGTGGATGATAATACTCTGCAGTCTCACTTGACAGGCAACAAACGATGCAGACGTAAAATTAACCACGCTAGGGTAGAGTGGCTCGTAGAGGCGTAAAGAGAGGCTGTACGTGCTATGCGGGGCGAGCGCCCACCTTCACCTGAACGGTCTCGGCAAACCGACGGGGCTGGAGCCGCAGGGCACAACACTGAACAGCATGTGGTAGCACAAGAACCACATGCTGCTGCGAGAGAGGAGGAGGAAGATGCGGAGAGCGACATTAGTAGTATTGATGACGGGTTCGACACTCTCACTGAGCTTTACATTTTTTTCAGAGATACGGACCTTTCAAGACGGGAGGTTAATTGATTGCTCAACATATTCGCGAACCCCCGGTTCTCGGTGAGAGATGCCAGGTGGTGGATGAACTTCGTCGACGTGAGGCGTTTCGGCAAGCTGATGGCCCCTCCGGATCTAGTGCCATGGCAGTCGACGGTCATTAAATGCTACGGGCCGGGTGGAAAGATGGCGAATCTTCCACTGCATTTCAGAAACACTGAGCTGGTGAGCATGTGGGGCGTTCCGAGGGGCGTGATCGTCGTTGATTTTTTGCGCGGGGTAACATTGGGCTGGAGCACACACTCATGCCTGGAGAATGCTTCCTCTCGTAACAGTTGGTGCAGAAGCTGGTGCGGATGTTCATACACACGGAGGGCTTCGTGACGGAGCTGCGCACAGACAAAGAAGACAGTGAGGGCAAGAGGCATTTCAGCACCCCTGACACCGGGGTCTGGATGGAAAAAGCACAAGTGAGTCTATGGGGACTGTGGAACCGTTGACGGCGCGAAACTCATCACACGTCCAATGACTTTGTGGCATAAAACCCTCAACCAGCCACGTCTTGTTCGCATAAACGTGATGACGTGTGCAGGCGAGCCGTCCGGAGCAGAAGGGCATCATTCTGGGTGTCATTGTTTACAGCGACAGTACTCACGCGAGTGCCAATGGGAGGCTACAAGCGTGGCCAGTACTTATCAGCTTGTTCAACATCCCAGAGGCTCTGAGATGGCTGGAGCCTGGCCACGTTCTTGCTGGTGTGCTGCCTTTCCCGCCGGACTGGGCCACGTCGACGGTCAAGACCCGTGTGTTCCAAGAGGCGATGGCCATTATCTTCGAGCCGTTGTTGAGAGAGCACCGAGGATGAGTCCCCGTGATGCGTGGTGTGTTGTTGTCTTGGAAGTGCAGCTGACGATCCAATGTTGTTGCTTATTGCATTGGTAAGTGCAGAGCAGAGATGAAGTTCATATACATGACAGATGCATCTGGCCAAGTGGTGAAGGCCTACCCATGCCTATTTGCAGAGGTTGGTGACTACCCAGAGTCATCACGCTGCACGGCGACAATGCAGCAGGGGTCACACAGGCCGTGCAGCTCGTGCTACATCAAGAAGACGAGTCTGTCCCAGCTCCAGACAGAAACGACGGTGAGGACAGCGGAGCTACACCGGAAGGTAGTGGAGGCTATGCAGAATGCATCGACGAAAGATGACGCGAACAAGATCAGGCGACGTTGGTCGACACACCCCGTGCAGGTCAGAATACGTTGATGTTACATGATGGAGAGGGTCTGACAACCCTAGTCTGCGAGGATCGTGCGATGCGTGTTGTGTCATGGTTGAAACAGGTTACACATACGCGTCTCGAAGACATCTAAACCTTCTCCTGTACGTGTTGTTTTGGTGGCAGTGCGTCTTGGAGAGGTGGAATTTTGCCAAAACCACATGGGGGAACGTATTCCGGGCATGCGTGTCTGACGTTCTGCATGTGTTGGACGGAGGAGTCCTGGGACACCTGATAGACGTTTTCATTTCTCCCCTAAGCAAGCCGGAGAGGCAGGAACTGGAGAGGTGATTGGTGGGTTCGTGTGGCTGATAATGTCAAGTTGTCGTCATGATGGGCCAGATAGACGTGTAACAAGTTGGTTGACCTTGTGCAGGCGCAAGAAAGAGCAGAAGAAGGGTACTCGCACAACGGTAGTCCGGATCCCCGGTGGAAATTCGTGGTTTAAGTCACGGGCGAACTACGCGGCGTTTGAGAACAGGGGTATGATGCAGGTGATGCCGATACTCATTGCGGACAACATGGACGAGTGCAAGCTAGAGGAGAAGGCGCAACGGATCAAGGAGGTGAGGGCGTTCAGGAGGTACGAAGTTTTCTACAAGTCGCTGCTCGGCGTAACCAAGCACACCGAGAGGACCTTGAGTGACGTTCGCCAGAACGCTTACTTGTGAGTGGGATACCTGGTTGTGACCAGCTATGGGGAGGTTAGCTATGGGGTGCGTATGTCCAGTTGTAGCATTGTGGCTGCATGTTGCACGAATCGGTAGAGGTGGAGGAGCGTCGGGTGTGATGTGCAAATTACTCAACCGTGTCATGTACAACGGACGCACGGATGGTTGTGCCGCCGTTTTGCAGGATGATGGACGCTATCAAGGACGCCTTTAAGGTGCAACCGTCTGTTTGGAACTTAGCGAAGGTGCACCAGATCGTCCATCTCATTGATGGCATCACGCTTCGAGGGTTGCCGTACGAGTACTCCACGAACCTCTGGGAGCACACCCACAAGGGCACGGTGAAGGTCCCTGTGCGCGGGAGCAACTGGAAGGATATACCCCGACGCATCGTAGAGGAGGAAGTGCAGAGGGAGATCACGCGGGAGGTGGCGGCATTAGCTGGGGGAGGACGGCAGTACGTCAGTGCCTTGCGAGAGGTGAGATGCCCGCATCGGAGTGGAATGGTGATACCACATGGTAACGGACGCTTGGTAAGCGGGGGTACGGCACGTGGCTAGAACGTAGGGGTCCATAGTTTATTCGCCGTGGTTTGGGTTGGGTACGGTGACAGGGCAAGGTGTGTATTGGCAAACAGCCAACAATGCATAGCACTGCTGTGTCGTGCTTGGTGTGTTTAACTGGTATGGGTGTGTGAATGCTGCATGTGTCCTACCTGACAGGCTGTGAGGCAACAAACGTACGTGCTGACGCGGAGGTCACGGAGCGCTGACGTGAGCGACGAGGAGGACGCCGTGCTGTGGGTTTATTGGGAGGCACTAGGATCAGACATGAAGGAGCTCGGCAGGTGCTTGGCAGAGGCAGGAGTGACGAGCACAGAGATCAAGGTGAGCATATGTTAATTCCGTTGGCCAGTGCCGGGACACAACCAAGTACGGTTGGGAGCGTTAACGAAGCAGTGCACGTGGTTGTGTGTGTGTGTGTTGTGTTCCCTAAGGGAGTGATTTCCATGCGTGCCTAATATATTCAGGTCCACACGACATTGGCCATTCCGTGAACACGTGGCGGCGAGCTCGTGGCAAAGGGCACGTTTGTCAAGGCCAGCCCATCCGAGAAGTGGTTTTCTGACGTTGCTGTGAAGAACGCGAAGGAAAAGAAGTGGTACGCACGATGCATGTGCGTGTTCCGCGCAACGGACGCGGACGGGGTGGAGGGGAGGTACGCCTATGTGAAATACTATGAGGCGGCAGAGGTGTGCCCCATGACAACTTGTGTGCAGCTAACCCCAGGGAGGGCCACCACATGCTTTGCAGTGGTGGACGTGGAGTGCATTAAGCGGGTGGTGCATGTGTGCAAGTCATATGTGAACAAGAAGGTCATGCTGCTGAACAAGTTTTTGTTGTGCGAGTAGATGTAGATGGTGGCATGTGGACGCGCTCGCGGACGTGTTGATATTTTGGTGGAGAGGTTTGTCGCGTGTTAATTATGTGTTGGGATCATGCCGTTGTTGTTAATGTGTAATTCTGGGACTGGTGCCAAAGGAGTGTGGGGTTCAGCAAAGAGGGTTAGACGAGTGTGCGATGCGCAAAACATCGAAATTGTTGTGCAAGTTTTGTTATGGTGTACCAAACATTTTTGTTTAAGGGAGGAAAGTAAAGTGATACATTGGAGAGTGGGGAAGATGTGAGTAAGGGGGGAGAGAGGGAGGAGGAGGGCAGGGTCAATATGCATTGGTGAGGATGGGAGAAGTGAGGAGGGGTGATTAAGAAGCTTCGGGTGAAGGGATGAGCAGAAATGGGGTAGTGGGTGGGAAGTCACGGGATAAGGGGCATGCAAGCATGCATGTATGTAGGCATGGGGTAAGAGGCATGCAAGCATGCATGTAGGCATGGGGTAAGAGGCATGCTAGCATGGATGTAGGCATGGGGTAAGAGGCATGCAAGCATGGATGAACGGGCATGTTCTATGGAGTATGGGGCGAGCAGGCATGGCGATGGGAGGCATGCGTAACGTGGGATAGGCGGGAAAGGGAAAACACAACACAATGAAGAAGCACAACCCTTCTATCCCTCGTCACCTTCTCCTCTCCTTTCCCGGGCGTCTTTTGAGTCGACTCAAAAGTTATGAGTCACATGTGCCAGTGCAATCGCTGCTCGCACACGTGCCAACAAGTCTGTTCGCACTCACTAATGAATTTGTTACACCCCTTATTTGTGACTAACCTTAACACTGCCACTGCCCAGTGCTCTGGATTTTTCTGCTGTCGTGCAGGAACTTGACGAACTTGAAGAATGCGAGTATAGAGGGCAGGGGACAGGCCCTCAGATTCGTCAGACTTAGTACACATGTTTTGTCTGATAAATCAGACTTGGTAGGTACCAAAAAAAAGTCTGAAATTTCAGAGTTCGAGAGTAAAGAATCTGATAAACCAGAGTTCACATCAGTAGTGAAGCTGATTGATCAGCCTAAAACGATGTGATAACCGCGCCGCAACACTGCTCTCCCTGTTTCAGCGTGATTGACAGGACAAAAGTGTACGTCCAGCGCTAATCGCGGCTGTCAGTGCAGATTTCGCATAGGGATAATCAGAGTACACTCCGAGAAAAAGGCTGAAATATCCGACAAGGTTTAGAAAATTGTGCTGAATATTTAGTCATAGCAAAAAAAACGCTGAACTTTCAAAGTTCACTAAAAACATGTTGAACTGAGAAAGTATTGCAGCGGGAGATTTGAATTTCTGTGCTGGTATATTGTGAGAACAAGAATTGAATAATAAAGAAGAGACACAAGATATTTATAGTCTACGAAAGTACATATTTAGATATGTACATGTTCATGAAACGGGCTAGATATCGAATCGACTCTACGAAGGGGAATAATCCAGTGTCACGCGAACAGTCGCGAGACTGTTCGTGTCAAACTTATATGCTATAGTCTGTGTAGGCTGTAGTGGGGTAGTTCATATAGGGTACAACATTTCTAGGTTTCCTACTTGTACCCAAACTGCTTGCTAGTCAATCATTCCTTTGTTCCTATTCTGACATGGTATTCTGAGCAGGTTCCCTCCGTGGGAACGTTTTTTTTTTTTTTTTAAGGGCCCACCACTGAAACTGTTTAGCCTGCCCGAAGCGCGCTGTCGCGCCTGCCTCTCTTGCGCCGTCGCGCGCCTCTGCCCTGCTGTCGCGCTAGTCGCGACCCTGCCTGCCGCCCGTCGCGCACCTCTGCTCGTCGCGCGCCTCTGCCCGTCGCGGCCCTGCCCGTCGCGCGCCTCTGCCCGTCGCGGCCCTGCCCGTCGCGCGCCTCTGCCCGTCGCGGCCCTGCTTGCCGCCCGTCGCGGCTCTGCTTGCCGCCCGTCGCGGCCCTACGTTGCGGCCAGTCGCGGCCCTCTCCTGCCGCCCTACGTCGCGGCCCTGCCCTGCCTCTGCCCGTCGCGGCCCCTGACCTACTCGCCGCCACCGTCGCGGCCCTGCTCTACCGTCGCCCAGTCGCGGCCCTGCCCTGCTGCCGCCCCAACTGCGGCCCCTGACCTAGTCGCCAGCTGCTGCCCTGCCCTGCACCCGCCCCTGGTAAGCACCCGCGCCGCCCAACCGAGCCGCGTCGCCCGGCCGAGCCGCGCCGCCCAGCCGAGCCGCGCCGCCTTACCGAGCCGCGCCGCCCTACTGAGCCGCGCTGCTTCTGCTGCTTCTGCTACTTCTACTGCTACTGCTGCTTCTGCTGCTACTGCTGCTACTGCCGCTATGGCTAGTCCTACTGTTCTTACCTTTGATGCTGAGGGTCGTGCTGTTGACTTCGAGGTTTGGGTAGACGACCTACAGCTCTTTCTCCAGTGCGACTTCAAGGACTGAGTCTCCCTGTTCGACCACACGTCCGGTGTCTCTCCTGCACCTGCTGCCACTGCTGACAGTACGGTTCGCTCGCAGTGGACCACTCGTGACGCTGTTGCTCGTCTTGTTGTTCGTAGTCACCTGCCGTCTGCTGAGCGCGCGCACTTTGGCCAGTACAAGACTGCAAAGTCTTTGTATGACGCTGTTGTAGCGCGCTACTCCTCCCCTGCCACTGCTGCTCTCAGCCGCCTCATGCTACCGTACCTGTTCCCTCACCTTGCTGCCTTTGCCACAGTCGCTGACCTCATTACTCACCTCCGCACTAGTGACACCCGCTACCGCGCTGCGCTTCCCACTGAGTTCTGTGCAAAGAACCCCCCCCCCCATGTACATCACTCTCTACAACCTAGTCACCCGTCTCCCTGACTCTCTCTCTTCAGTCAGGGACCACTTTCTCTCCCTTTGCCCCACTGAGCTCACCGTCGACCTGCTTGAAGAGCGCCTTACTGCAGCAGAGAAGAGTATTGTTGCTGTAGGTGCTTCTCGCGGCGACCCCCGCGCCCCTTTCTTTGAGGGGTGCTCCCCCGTCCCCCTTCTCCCCTCTGTTGCTTCTGCTGCTGCTGTCGACCTCGTTGGCACTGAGGAGGTCGGGGCTGCGTCTGCTCCTAGTGGGAGGCGCCGCAACAGCAAGGGCAAGGGGGTCAGGGGTGGTGGAGGGGACGGAAGTGGAGGCGGTGGAGGCGGTGGAGGGGGTGGAGGCGGTGGTGGTGGCGGTGGGGGTGGTGGCGGGAGTGGGGGCGGCAGTGGAGGTAGTGGAGGCAGCGGCAGCGGCGGTGGAGGTGGAGGCGGTGGTGGTGCTGGCCGAGGAGGTACCGCACAGCGTGGAGGCTTTGGCGGTAGCCAGCCCCAGCAGCAGCCGCGTTCCCGTGAGACCCTTTCGCCCCAGCAGCTTCGTGAGTGGTACGCTGGGCGTGGGAGGGCTGGGGGTGTTGGTCCCTGCACTTACGTTCTTCGCACAGGCGGGCGTCGTGGAGAGACGTGCGGTGGACCGCACACTTCGCAGAGCTGCTTCGGTCGCCTGACTGACGCCTGGCGTGCACAGTTTCCTGACGGCGCTTAGCTCCCCCGCTGGGGTGATCTGCTGAAGCAGAATGTTGCTATCTTTGATCTTGATTTCGATGCTATCCTTGCTGCCCTGTATGTTGTGACTGATAGTGCTGAGGGTGACTGTTACGTGTGTGTTCCGCCCGACCCGGGCATTGAGGCTGCTGCTCTAGGTGCTAGTGAGTCTGCTGCTCCAGGTGCTGGTGAGTCTGCTCTCTCTGGTACAGCACCTACTGAGGCCTTGCACACCTTCACACTTGACGCAGGTGCTTCGCGCTCCTTCTTTCGTGACAGCACCACACTCACGCCGCTCAGTCGGCCGGTGGCAGTCTCCCTGGCTGACCCCTCTGGGGGCCCAGTCCTTGCGCACTCCTCCACGGTTCTACCGTGTCCTGCGGCCCCGTCGGGCCTACTGTCGGGACTCCACCTCCCCTCGTTCTCTACGAACTTGGTGAGTGGAGCTGACCTCCAGGACGTGTGGGTTGACCAGTTCACCCCGGGAGGTCAGCGTGTGACCCACTGTACTTGCTCTCGGACAGGCCGCCACCTGGCCACGTTCACCCGTCAGCCTGGGTCGAGCCTCTACACACTGACCACTGTGTCTCCTCCTGTCACTGCGTCTGGTCAGGTAGCCGCGTCTTGTCAGGTGTTTGCTACTGCGTCCAGGTCTAGTCCGGCGTCTGCCCCCTGCTCGTGTCGTCCTCTGTCACACGAGACTCTTCTTTGGCACCACCGCCTTGGTCACCCCTCCCTGCCTCGTCTACGAGGTATGGCCTCCCGTGTCCTTGTCTCAGGTCTCCCCGAGTCCCTCCCTCCCCTTCCTCCGGGGCCTGCCCCCACCTGTGTTCCTTGTGTTGAGGGCCGGCAGCGCGCCGCCCCTCACTCCTCTGAGTTTCCTCCGACAGAGGCTCCTCTGCAGACTCTCCACATGGACGTGTGGGGCCCAGCCCGCGTCCGTGGACAGGGTCACGAGCGTTACTTCCTACTGGTCGTTGACGACTACTCGCGCTACACCACAGTCTTCCCCTTGCGCCGCAAGGGTGAGGTCACTGAGGTGTTGATCGACTGGATCCGCGCTGCTCGTCACCAGCTTAGAGAGAGTTTCGGCTCGGACTTTCCTGTTCTGCGT